CAAGTAGCAGAGGCTCCATATGTCCCCATGGTCCCTCTTATTGTGTCCTTACCTGTGTTCTGGCGTCCTCTCAGCTAGCCCCATTTTTATGTATTGGTGCCAAATACTCAGTTTTACTGTTCTATACCTCCCCGCCCATAGGTATACTGCCTCCTTAAGAAAGGTGAGTGAGTTAAGATTTAGAGTCAAATCGGCAACATTCAGCTAAAACAATACATACTTTAATAATTAAGATTCATAAAATCTGTCAATGAAGCACAATAAAATAACCAAGTTAGCGCAGATAGAAATTTAACAGTGGAATGTAAGCATTAAAACATTTACTACATTTGAGAGCAATACCAGACAAATATTTGATATATGGCTTGTTGTTTTTCTGACCATCGATGACAGTTTTAAAAATGATCGTACAACCGTACAAGTATTTAAGTTGATCAAGTCACAATATGGCAGAAATATTGCCGACGTGACTTAAATTATACACACTCACTTACCCATTATCTGGTTAAACCTCCGTATATTTCACAAACATAGTAAAGCAGAGATTTAATACACTGGCAACCTGCTCGGGGCAAACATAAAGTTAATGGATAACCAATGGTGATCAATGGCATAGGGTGTACATGACATAATCACTACTCTAGTCCCCGTCCACGATCGTACGTCTCCATCAACGCATGTATCCCTGTTGCAATGGCATTCCTATATCCGATTCCAGTCGGTTTCCAATCAAATCCACCGATGCATACTGTAAAAGCAGCCAATACTGGTCAATAACTATCGAACGATGTCATCTGCAAGAGTTAAAAATACATAGTAATGAACACATGGATCATAGATTTCCTCGTGAAGAATGTTTGACTTTGCTTAGCCAGTATACCCGGAATATTTTTAGTGTTAAGCATAAATCAGTGAAAATATTTTATAAATGCTTTGTGAAAAAGGAGTGGTTTTAGAGTGTATATCAAATAATGACTTGCGTTGGGATGTAGCTGTACAATCTTAATAGGAAAACACATTATGGGGCTCCGTTGGCCTACGCTTTGTCGATAGGTATATCAAAATATAACACCGTATATTACATTGTGTCATATACTACAGTGGATTCGTGCTATATATTACATTGAATTAGCGCTATTTATATCACCTTAAATCCGTGCTATGTATTACGTTGAATTCGTGCAATATTATACACTGAATCAGTACTATGTATTGCATTGAACTAGTGCTGTGTATTAAATTGAATTCGTGCTATATATTACATTCAGTTAGCGCTATATATATCACCTTAAATCCGTGCTATGTATTACGTTGAATTCGTGCAATATTTTACACTGAATCAGTGCTAGGTATTTCATTGAATAATTCATATGTATTACACTGAATTAGTGCTATGAATTACATTGAATAATTGCTGTGTATACATTGAATTAGTGCTATGTGATACTTTGAATAATTGCTATGTTAATACATTACATTAATGCTATGTAATACATTGAATTCGTGCTATATATTACATTGAATTAGTGTTATGTATTATACACTGAATTAGATCTATGTAAGTGCAATTACTTTGAAGAAGTGCTATTACACTAAAATCTTGCTTTGCATTATATTACTTCAGTGCTATGCATTGCATTGCATTGAATAAGTGATATGTATTTCATTGAATAATTCATATATATTACATTTCATTAGAGCTATGTATTACTCTAAAATATTACTTTATATTATATTGCATCAGTGCTATGTATTACAATGAATTCTTCCTGTTTAGTACACTGAATTCTTTCTCTATATTACATTGCATAAGCGCTATATATTACAATGTGTTTGTAAAATTCAATTCATTCATCTCACGACAACATTTACATTGCTATATATTTATATATGTTTTTTAGTTGGTTGTTTTTTGTGTTTTACATGTTCAGCTACACTGAGAGCTATACACCACAGCACCGCTTGTATGCCTTTCTACTTCACATTGTCTGTGATCGAACAAATATAGCGGCCGTTCGATCAGACCTCAGCGAGGATGTGAGCGCACATTACAACTGACTGTGTTGAAGACGCCTTTTCAGAGGAACCAGCTACCTTGAAGCTGTTACACAACCTACTCGTTGATCGCGACAGTTCTACGGGGTGGCCTCACAATCAGGTAAGTCCGTTTTACTTCTTTGAGGGGTATTTAGAAGTTTTAGCAAGGATAACAATATACGGATGAACAATTTCTTTATTACAGCTAGAGCGGTTAAAGCGTTCGCTCTTCACGCCAATGACCCGGGTTCGATTCCCCACATGGGTACAATGAGTGAAGTCCATTTCTGGTGTCCCCCCGCCATGATATTGCTGGAATATTGCTAAAGGAGGCGTAAAACCATACTCACTCACTCGATCATCCAATAGGTAATCGAGAATGAGAGCAACTGAGATGTTAATATCCTTACACGAAGCTGACACTTCTCGGTATAAATTAAACACCGGTATTACACTTTATTCGTTCATTTATCGGTGCCGTGAGATACAGATTGTTTGGACTTTGGTCAAGTGTCTAATTTATTTTGTGTGATATTCTAGCACATTGTATTTGGTAGAAACAAACAAACCATAGCTGTGGATTTTCTGCTCCAACCATCATTTGATTTTCTGGTCTACAAGCCACCTTTGAACTGCAGCGTACTTGCGACCTTAGACGAGAAATACTTAAATGAATAGTTGGTGATACCAAAATTGGCAACTCTAACTCTGTCAAATCTGGCGGAAAAATAATAAACAGTAATTTGTCTTGTAAGAAAGAGTCAAGTATTGTTTCCTCAAAAGCAAAACAATATGTTAACTCATTACCATCGCTGACGACGTGAATGAGGAGACGTGTGTTGGCGTGTATGGATGCCCAGTGTGGTCAAACTTGCTATTGACGTCGTCTCACCAGACTCCTGTCTCATTATGTGTATCTTTATGCACTTTTTGATTGAACTCTGATTGTGACCCTTTGACGGTTTCTTAATGCAAGACCAGCATCACAGTGAAGTTTCTGTCAATTTATTGGAAATGATTTCAGTTTGTAAAATAATTATCCTAAATCTCATAGACGTCTTTGTTTCTATTTTTGGTAAAGTCAAGTAGGTGATAGCTTTCTTTTGTCCGGTAATAATTGTAGATTACAATTATTATGAGGGCTCTGTAATAGTGATTGAAATAGTGAATGACAAAATTCTATTCTCTGCTCATATTACTACCAACACTGCTGACAATACAAGCATATAGAGCAGCCTCGGTGGATCGCATAGGCAATAAAACTTACTAATTTAATATCAGAAATATGACTTTCTCAGAAAATTATTTAAAAGAAATTTAAACTAGGCTATTGACCACAAACGACCAAAGGGATCAAATGGTTTTTTATATACTTTGTTGGTTTACGACGCACTCAGCAATCTTCCAGCTATTTAGCAGAAAATTTATTGAAGATTGATATGCTCGGCTGCTTGCATACACAAATTTTATAACTTGTTTCCAAATCATTTCAATCTGAACAGAATGATTGAAACAAAATCAGCATGTTACAAAATGTAAAAAAACCCAGATCGTTTTCTTTCCTAGATGAGGAAGTAATGTCAGCGAACTGACAGTACCTACCCCTACCCGATTCAAGTGGGGCGTGGTGGGCGAGCTGTCTAAGGCGCCAGGCTACTGATCCAGCGAGCTTGAGGTGTCGGGATCGTGCCCGCCTGTGACCGGGTGTAAAAACCTTGGAGTCAACTTTGTGTGCAGACTCTTTCAGTGTTGTCACAACCCCAAGTGTACAGTACACCACCCTGTGCACTAAAAAGAGCCCACGAATCCGTTGGTAAAAGACCAGAGGGTGGCCACATGAATACGTGCAAACACCTAGTTGCGGGTCAAGTAACGTACAGTAAACTTGGATAAGGTATGACTATGTGTCCCAGTCCACCCAGCTGGGAATGGGTACCTCGTAAGGACGGGAAAGCCACATTAACTCGGTGCGCCTAATGCCTGCAAGAGTTGTAAGCTCCAATGATGGAGGGAAAAGCACAGAGCTTTTGAGCAGCTAAGCTGGATACTGACGCTATACAAAATTAATATTAATCGCTGCAAATATATTTTCTTGTTTCAGTGATGCGTGTTGATGTATTTGCCATTAAACGGCACGACGGCAATATTCTATTTATTCACCTAAATGTCACTTAACAGCGGTAATCAAGATATCATGTGTTGTATCTAATAGATAATCAATAGATTCGTTTTAGATCAGATTCAAATATTGAATTCGCGAGAAATATCAATGCTTAGTTGACGTCAGACATTGAGCTCAATCAACTTGGGTTACACGCACGAGCAGACACTGTAGGTGTCTCGTATTGTATTTTACATTTAGGAATCAAATAACGGAAGAGAAAAACGTTGTGCAAGAATTAAATCAGAACGCTAGTGCCTAAGAAAGGCGAGAATACTGCGTAAAACTAAACTCAAACTCAAATATGTTATGAAATAGTTTCACCCATGGTTTTGAATAGCATTAGACGCAGTTACGATCTTTGGTTTAGGTCATTACGGCACACAGTATGGGACCCGTGAAGATCCGGGTTAGAATTGATCTTCAGCAACCCATGCTTGTCGTAAGAAGCGACTAACGGGTCGTCAATCACTGGACGCCTTCATAAAGCTGAAAAAAAAATTTGAGTACGGAGACAAAGTGAACACTACTACTGTCGTTCATTTCGAGATAAACGTCAACAAATACAACTGGAAACATTAAATCATTTATACTCCATCTGTTACACGGGCGGTGGGGTAGCCCAGTGGTTAAAGCGTTCACACGTCACGCCTATGGCCCGGGTTCGATTTCCCACATGGATACCATGTGTGGAGCCCATTTCTGGTGTCCCCCGTCGTATTATATTGCTGGAACACTTCTAAACGCGGCGTAAAACCATACTCACTCACTCGCTCACTCACTCACTCACTATCTGTTACAGTTACCAAACAGTTCAACATGTGGTGTGGGGTGTTTCTGATGGTATCCATGTATGTCCCCATAGCAGGTATGTATCATGCTGTATATACAGCGCAGCTGACGAAAAATACCATACAGCCAAATGCAGTATTTGGTTATTGTTCATGAAACCATTTTAAATCTTTAGATCTGTTTCTACGTGTTTTACTTCGATGAGATCATAATATATGTTACACGAAATCGTGAAAATCCGGGGGTCTTCAGTGACCCATCCTGTTCGAGGCAGGTGACTAACGGGATCGGGTGTTCAGGTTCGTTGACTTGGTTGACTCAAGTCATAGTATTTCAACTGCTTAGACCATGCTCATGATGTCAATCGGTGAATTCTCTGGTCCAGACTCGGACCAATTCCCCACATGGGTACGATGAGTGAAGCTTTACTGTCCTAGCTGTGATATTACAGGAATATTGCTAAAAGCGGCGTAAAACTAAACTCACTCACATGTACTCGTAAAGATCCGGGTTAGAATTGATCTTCAGTAACCCATGCTTGTCGTAAGAGGCGACTGAGTGGTCAGGCTCGCTGACTTGTTTGACATATGTCATCGCATCCCAATTGCGTAGATAAATGTTCATGCTGTTGATCACTGGATTGTCCGGTCCAGAGTCGATTATTTACAGATTTCCGCCTTACAGCTAGAAAATTTTTGAGTGCGGCGTTAAGCAACAAACCAGCCAACCAGTAGAGTATATTGACATCCGCATCGAATCCCTGTTGCACCCCGCCATTGTCTGGGGTATTAAATCTACGCCCCATAATTCTATAGATCTCACGATGACTCAAATATGCTGTCATGTTCCTTACAGTCGGCTCAATAACGTTCACCACACAAGGGTTAATGGAATTTGTCAACCCCATGATCTTTGGCTTTGATATTCGGGGAAAGGACTGGATCACGTTCAGGATCATGGCGTGCAAGGACTTCAACATCAAACTGTACTTCCGTGACCAAGAGATGTACCGAATGCTACTTGGGGGTTTTCACAACAGTATGAGCCGATTCATCGCATTTGGGACGTCTGAAGACGTCTCTGGGAAGGTCTTCACCTGCACTGGCTATGATGAGTTTTGGACCTCTTGGGAAGATGGTCATTTTAAAGTTGGTCGTGGCAAGCAAAAGGATGTTGACATTCTCTTCAGTGATGCTGGGTATACAGTTCCTGGCGTCGACAGCTTTACTGTGAATGCCCCGAGCGGTTCATTCATTTTTGGTAAGTAGAGCCACATCATGCAGCTTCTCGTATCCTCTGGATTTAAGGGGTTGAAAAGTCTATGGCACTCCATACCTGAGTGCTAGGGGGAAACATATATCCCAGGTGTTCTTTTCACATCCCGTGGGTCTCCTAAATCGCAGATTGTCCATGTTTGATAACTCCTGATTTCCTGACATGTCGCTGCTATTCCGTGACCAATGTGCACTTGGTTCCCACCACCCCTTAACAGCCTTAATAGGTCCCTGCTATCCCTTTCATGCTGTAGGCCTGACAGATCCCTGGCACCGTAAGCTTGACACTGATCCTATCTTAATAGATCCCCAGTACATGTCACATGCTGTGGGCTAAAGAAGAGCAAGGTATAATATTTATGTCGACTTGCTAGAACCCTAGAATCCCCTACTTCTTCATACTTCGAAAACATACAAAAAACAACCTTCCCCTGGTTGTCACACTCTGTTCGCTTACTACATCCCCAGCCTCCCCTACTTGTCACCCTCTGTGGGCTTACTAGATCCCTGGCATCCCTGAGTATCACGCTCTGTGGGCCTACTAGGTCCCTGGCATCCATGCGTATCATACTCTGTCGGCATACTAGATCCCCGGCATCCCTGCGTATCACGCTCTGTGGGCTTACTAGGACCCAGGCATCCCTGCGTATCACACTCTGTGGGCTTACTTGATCCCTGGCATCCCTGCGTATCACACTCTGTTGGAATAATAGGTCCCCAGCCTCCCCTGCTTGTCACACTCTGTAGGCTTATTAGATCCCTGGCATCCAGGTGTATCACACTCTCTGGGCTTACTAGGACCCTGGCATCCCTGCGTATCTCACTCTGTGGCCTTACTAGGACCCTCTGCATCCCTGAGTATCACGCTCTGTGGGCCTACTAGGTCCCTGGCATCCATGCGTATCACACTCTGTCGGCTTACTAGATCCCCGGCATCCCTGCGTATCACGCTCTGTGGGCTTACTAGGACCCTGGCATCCCTGCGTATCACACTCTGTGGGCTTACTAGATCACTGGCATCCCTGAGTATCACACTCTGTGGGCTTACTAGGACCCTGGCATCCCTGCGTATCGCACTCTGTGGCCTTACTAGGACCCTCTGCATCCCTGCGTATCACACTCTGTGGGCTTACTAGGTACATGGCATCTCTGCGTATCACACTCTGTGGGCTTACTACATCCCTAGCATCCCTGCGTATCACACTCTGTGGGCTTACTAGATCACTGGCATCCCTGAGTATCACACTCTGTGGGCTTACTAGGACCCTGGCATCCCTGCGTATCACACTCTGTGGCCTTACTAGGACCCTCTGCATCCCTGCGTATCACACTCTGTGGGCATACTAGGTACATGGCATCCCTGCGTATCACACTCTGTGGGCTTACTACATCCTTAGCATCCCTGCGTATCACACTCTGTGGGCTTACTAGGTCCCTGGCATCCCTGCATATCACTCTCTGTGGGCATACTAGATTCCCAGCCTCCCTTGCTTGTCACGCTCTGTGGGCTTACTAGGAAAATGGCATCCCTGCTTATCACGCTCTGTGGGCTTACTACATCCACAGCCTCCCCTGCTTGTCACGGTCTGTGGGCTTACTAGGACCCTGGCATCCCTGCGTATCACGCTCTGTTGGCTTACTAGGTCCCTGGCATCCCTGCGCGGCACACTCTGTGGGCTTACTATGTCCCTGGCATCCCTGAGTATCATATTCTGTGGGCTTTCTAGGACCCTTGTATGCCTGCATTTCACACTCTGTGGGCTTACTAGATCCCTGGCATCCCTGTGTATCAAACTTTGTGGGTTTACTAGGTCCCTGGCATCCCTGCGTGTCTCGCTCTGTGCGCTTACTAGATCCCTGGCATCCCTGCGTATCACGCTCTGTGGGCTTACTACGTCCCTGGCATCCCTGTGTATCACACTCTGTAGGCTTACTAGGTACCTGGCATCCCGGCATATTACACTCTGTTGGCTTACTAGATCCCCAACCTCCCCTGCTTATCACGCTCTGTGGGCTTACTAGGACCCTGGCATCCCTGCGTATCACGCTCTGTGGTCTTACTAAGACCCTGAAATCCCTGCGTACCACACTCTGTGGGCTAACTAGGTCCCCACCCTCCCCTGCTTTACACACTCTGGTGGCTTTTTAGATCACTGGCATCCAGGCGTATCAGGCTCTGTGGGCTTACTAGGACCCTGGCATCCCTTCTTATCACACTCTGTGGGCATACTTGGACCCTGGCATCCCTGCGTATCACCCTCTTTTGGCTTACTAGGTCCCTGGCATCCCTGCGTATCACACTCTGTTGGCTAACTAGGCACCTGGCATCCCTGCGTATCACACTCTGTTGGCTTACTAGATCCCCAGCCTCCCCTACTTGTCACGCTCTGTGGGCTTACTAGGACCCTGGCATCCCTGCGTATCACGCTCTTTGGGCTTACTAGGTCCCTGGCTTCACTACGAATCACGGTCTGTGGGCTTGCTAGGACCCTGGCATCCCCTCTTTATAACGCTCTGTGGGCTTACTAGGACACTGGCATCCCTTCGTATCTCACTCTGTGGGCTTACTAAGACCCCTGGCATCCATGCGTATCACCCTCTGTTGACTTACTAGGACCCTGGCATCCGTGCGCAACACCCTCTGTGGACTAACTAGGACCCTTACATCCCTGCTTATCACCCTCTGTGGACATACTAGGACACTGGCATCACTGCGTATAAGGCTCTGTGGGCTTACTAAGACCCTGACATTCCTTCGTATCACGCTCTGTGGTCTTACTAAGACCCTGGCTTCCCTTCGTATCACGCTCTGTGGGCTTACTAAGACCATGGCATCCCTTTGCATCACGCTCTGTGGGCTTACTAGGATCCTGGCTTCCCTTCGTAACACGATCTGTGGGCTTACTAAGACCCTGACATCCCTTCGTATCACGCTCTGTCGGCTTACTAAGTCCCTGGCATCACTGCGTATCAGGCTCTGTGGGCTTACTAAGACCCTGGCATCCCTGCGTATCAAACTCTGTGGGCTTACTAAGACCCTGACATCCCTGCTTGTCACGCTCTGTTGGCTTACTTGGACCCTAGCATCCCTGCGTATCACACTCAGTGGGCTTACTACGTCCCTGGCATCCCTTCGTATCACGCTCTGTGGGCTTACTAGGACCCTGGCATCCCTTCGCATCTCACTCTGTGGGCTTACTAAGACCCTGGCATCCCTTCATATCATGCTCTGTGGGCTTGCTAGGTTCCTGGCATCCCTGCTTCTCACGCTCTGTTGGATTACTATGTCCCTGGCATCCCTGCGTATCACGTTCTGTGGGCTTACTTGGACCCTGGCATCCCTTCGTATCACGCTCTGTGGGCTTACTAGGACCCTATCATCCCTGCGTATTACACTCTGTGGGCTTACTAGGTCCCTGGCATGACTGCGTATCGCGTTTTGTGGGCTTGCTGAATCCGTGGCACCCCTGCGTACCACGCTTTGTGAGCTTACAAGGAGCCTGGCATCCCTGCGTAACACGCTCTGTGGGCTTACTAGTTCCCTGGCATCCCCAGCGTATCAGACTCTGTGGCCTTATTATGACCTTGGCAACCCTGCTTGTCACACTCTGTGGGCTTACTAGGTCCCTGGCTTCCCTGCGTATCATGCTTTGTCTGCTTACTGGATCCCCAGTCTCCCCTGCTTGTTACACTCTATGGGCTTACTTGGTCCCCGGCATCCCTGCGTATTACGCTCTGTGGGCTAACTAGGTACCTGGCATCCCCGCGTATCACTCTCTTTCGGCTTACTAGGTCCCTGGCATCCCCGCGTATCACACTCTGTGGGCTTACTGGGTCCCTGGCATCCCTGCGTATCACTCTCTATGTTCTTAGTAGATCCCTGGCATCCCTGCGTATCACAGTCTCTCTGTGGGCTTACTAGGTCCCTGGCATCCCTGCGTATCACACTCTGTGGGCTTACTAGATCCCCAGCCTCCCCTGATTGTTACGTTCTATGGGCTTACTAGGTCCCTGGCATCCCTGCGTAATACACTCTGTGGACTCACTTGGACCCTGGCATCCCTGCGTATCAAACTCTGTTGGCTTACTAGGTCCCTGGCATCCCTGCGTATCACACTCTTTGGGCTTACTTGGTCCCTGGCATCCCTGCGTATCACCAATCGAACCTTAGAATCCCCTGCTTGTCACATTCTACGGGCTTCATAGACCCCTGATAAAGTTAATATAGGTATTCGGTTGATCATCGTTAGTAGCGAAAGTACACTGCACGTTTACCATTCACAAGCCAACCAAAGCTGAGGAGATTATATTTTTCATTTACTGATGAGCAAAATATACAACATATGTGTCTGTAAATATTTTTTAAAAATCATTGAAATGATTTATGTTTCTAAACCCTTTATTTCCTTTATTTTATTACCCATTTCCGATGTGGTGTGAATATGGTTTTCGGCTACTCACTCACTCACTCACTCCAGCAGTGTCCAGGCTACGCCACAAATGTGTACCCTAGTGGGGAATCGAGCCCGACGTGACGATCGAACGATAATCACCATATCATATTGTTAATACTAATATGAAATTGAATGCTGGTTTATTGACCTACTGAAACAACCCATGTCAGTTCCAGGGGATAGCTTGAATTCCATTAACAAGTTCAAACATATGCTGCATTTTGGAGACAATTGACTTGCCTTTGCGTGTGTTTGTTACGTGTGTGATCGGTAGGACAGATTTAACTTTTAGAGTGAGTGAGTGAGTGTGGTTTTACGCCGCTTTTAGCAATATTCCAGCAAGATCATGGCGGGGGACACCAGAAATGAGCTTCACACATTGTATTCAAGTGGGGTAGCTTAGTGGTTATTGCGTTCGCTGGTCACGCCAAAGATCGGGGTTCGATTCCCAACGTGGGTACAATGTGTAAAGCCCATTTCTTGTGTCCCCCACCGTGATACCCCTGGAATATTGCTAAAAGCGGCGTAGAACTAAACTCACTCACTCACTCACCCTACACTCAGTAATATTCCAGCTATGTGGTGGCGGTCTGTAAATAATCGAGTCTGGACCAGACAATCTAGACTAACAACTAGTCTCTGAAATGAACATATTTTACTGAAAAAAGTTCATAGTAATAAAATATATGTAATGAAAAGGAGCCCTGAGACTTTCTTCATTTTCAGAAGCTGAGGAAATCTAGACTTGCCACATTTTCTAGACTTGTGTGGCTTTCTTGGATATATTTGCTTCAGGGTCTGTACGAGAGACTACAGACAATCTTGTGATCATCAGCTTGTATGTTGTTCAAGCAATTTTAATGCAAAAAGGCTAATATTTTTTTCGTACTCACTTTCTCTTATCCTTACGAACGCAATTCATGTGCCCATCCTAACATCCAGTACGCGATCAGCATAAAGAGGTATTTAATGGACATGACAGAGAGTAGTACTTTACTACTATCTAATGACGACATTCGAGTATAGACCCTTACAAGGTTTTCAAGCACGAAATGCCTATCAAACAAAAGGAAATTGAGTCAGTTGCTGGGTTGGCGTATCATGTCTTCCTTGACAACGTTATAAGGAGCTTTACCGAATGTGTTTATAATGTAAAATAAATAGATAAATAGATGATCTTATTCATACATTGTATTCAGCAGGATACAAGCAGCGTATCATAAACATGAAGCATCGTCCAATACTCACTGTTGTATCAATACTCATATTTACTGAAAAAGCGATAACAGTTAAAGTGAACTTGACAAAAATACAACCACGAACCATATCTTGATAAGGAGCCTAAGAGCTCAGGATGTTACCTTGATTCTGCATGTGAAGTGATATAAAAACAGACAACTGCGTCTACAGGAAGAAATCATTAATTCGCCAGTGGCACTGTAAGGTGGATATCGGCTTATATCAATCGTTTCCCTGTAAAAATCCAATTCACTGATGGTGTTTATGCCAAAGCCAATAATGTGACGTGAGATGCGGGTTTGATATCTCGGCTTTTAAGTTCAGTAAAAGTATTCTTTGTCTTGAAAAGACTACAGATGTATCACGGCTTGATGTAATGATTCTGCAGATCAATTAATCCTTACATCTAAACAACAGCACGGTCGAGGTTGACATTGGATAAATAGTGCAGGAATAACTGGATGTGCATTACATCCGTGAAGATCCGGCATAGAATTGTCTCCAGCAACCCAGGCTTGTCTGAACAGGCGACAAGAACAGGCGCGGTCAGGCTCGTGAACTTGGTGAACGCATGTCATTGTATCCCAGTTGCTTGTGTCGGTGCTCTTGATGTTGATCACTGGATTGTATGTCCTGACTTGATTATTTACAGACCTCTATAGATGGAATATTGATGAGTGTGGTGTTAAACAACAAACCAAAAACAATCATGAATCAACCTTTTACTTATTCAGATTTATTACATATTAATCAATTGTCACTTATACCATTCATTTATTCATTTATTCGTTCATTCATTCATTCATTCGTTCGTTCGTTCATTTATTCATTTATTCGTTCATTCATTCATTCATTCATTCATTTATTCGTTCATTCATTCATTCATTCGTTCGTTCGTTGGGCGGTGGGGAAGCCTAGTGGTTAAAACGTCCGCTCGTCACGCTGAAGGCCCGGGTTTGAAGCCCACTCCTGATGTCTCCCGCCGTGATATTGTTGGAATAATGCTGAAAGCGACGTAAAACTTAACTCATTCATACGTTCCTTCGTTATGCAGCCCAAACCACTCTGTGGCCACCTTCAAACCAATCTTACGTTTCCACATTTCTAATCATTTCTGTGCCGGTCTTCTTTCAGAGTATGACAACTGTACGAGCCCTCCTGACATCGAGAGACTTGACGGGGTGAGATATACTGGGGGGTTTGTACTGCGGACCTACTCCGACGTCTCCAGGGCCTTCTGCATCACGGAGTGCGTCCTCAGCAACAGGTGTTTCAGCCTCAGCTTCAACAGAGTCGACAGTGAATGTGAACTATTTACAACCCCCTTCAACACAACAGACTTATCATCAGCACCAGGCTGGGAGACATACGTGTTCCCTGATATTAAGTTATATACCTGAATTAACACATTTAGTTTTCCAAGATTTGTGGAGTGCTTGATGTTCGGAAAATTCATTTAGAATAATGTTGCAAACTAGATGTTGCACGAATTTAAATTAATGTCCGCCCATCGAACATGGCAACTCCCATTCTATGGAACAACCTCCCAATGTCGCTGACCTCCGCTCTAAGTCAACAAACTTTTCAAAAACATCTAAAGACACATCTATTTGAAATGAACTAGACTGGGACTGCAAAAGCGCCTGTGAGCAGCCTAGCTGGAACTCGGCTCTATAGAAGTAGATTACTATTAACACTAAATATCATCCACAAGTCCACCCACTGTGAATAAAAGACATCACAAGTAATTTTCTAAACTACTCCAAGATGCATGGGACTTTACTGACGTCATTGCTACAAGGGATGGTGCCAAGGGATGGTGCCAAGGGATGACGTGATACGTTTCGAAGCCATATCAACTGGATTGAAAAAATGCTGAGAAAAAAAATCGTTTGTTACAACTAAGCAAGGCTGACAATCTGGAAAAGATGGAAGGAACATCTGACGCAACAGACGTCACCTAGAATCTCTAGGTCATCTGCCTCCGTAACAGTATCTATCGGGCTAACCAACAGATGACATCATAGCTTTGTCAGCTTGCTGCCGACACGCGAAGATCCGGATTAGAATTGGTCATGCTTCACTGCGGCATGGTATCTCAGTGGGCTAGCACTATAAAACCAGCTTAAGTCCTGGCTAGTACAAGCAGGCGCACACACACATACACACGCATGCACGTCGTCATATGAGCGCAATATTCTCAAGCACGACGTTAAACCAAATCTCACCTCACTTCACCTCACCATATTTATGCATCGCATTTGCTCCGTTGGACATCGATTACTGCATGTGCAGCCGGACAATCATTCCAAACAAAGGATAACTAAGCACATTTCACGTTTTAGGATAGTTTCTAAAAGGAAGGATGACTATGTTGCACCATATGCTTCTCTACTTGTACATACGCGTCAAACCTGGAACAGATCAATAGCAATAGCAATTCCGATGTGCGGAATCGTAATATGGTGGTTGCTTGATTTATTATGGAAAGCCTTCGGACATGGCATAACGCAGAGATGTGTGTGGATATGAAAGCGCGCGTAAAATCTCCAAATCAACATCATCATCGTCATCTGGAAACCTCTCTCAGATTCCGTGTACCGACTCCGATTTGTACAGCCCTTGACTTTACCTCTTAATGCCGTACACAAGCCTGGGTAACAACAAGTTACATCTGTAAGATTCTTTTGAGGGCGGAAGGGGCGATCCGTCGTCACCCATAAAACCCGGGTGTAAAGTGTGAACCCATTTATTGTGGCCAACGCCGTGCTATTACTGGAATCCACAACTATGAAAAGGAACCATTGGTCAAATATATGTGCAAAATCGTGTGAAGGAATATTGAATGGTTTGGAAGATCTGAACACCGCACCTTCATTTTCAGTCAGTCAAAGTGTTGCTATGGTAACTAGAAGAATGTTTTTTTTATATATTACAAACAGTCAAAAGACATGGTTGAAGCGAGACATATGTATGAGGAAGTTTGGTGAGGAAATGGTGCACAGTGTGATTTTATCCAATCTGTATATCTGTATACAGTTTAACGTAGCAATCAGGATAAGTGAGTGAGTAGGATTTTGTGCCGCTTTTAGCAATATTCCAGAACAATCAGTGAGGTGACGCCAGAAATGGGCTTCATACATTGTACCTATGTAGAGAATCGAACTCGGGTCTTCGGCGTGACGAGCGAACATTTTAACCACTAGGCTTCCCCACCGCCCCAGTCGGGATGACATTCCAGCTGTATTACGGTGTTCTGTCAATAAATGCGGTGCGGTTGGGGGTAGCCTAGTGGTTAAAGCGTCCGCTCGTCACGCCAAAGACCTGGGTTCGATTTCCTACATAGGTACAATGTGTGAAGCCCATTTCTGGTATCCCCGCCGTGATATTGTTGGAATATTGCTAAAAGCGACGTAAAAGCCAACTCACTCACTCACTGTGACGGTATAATGGTTCAGCAGCTGAAAGATGCGTAAAACCATACTCACAAGAGTAATGGACACGTTGACTGACATTCTAATCAGTGACATCATGAGCATCGATCTGTGCAATAGGAATCTGCTCGGGAAACAAGATTAAGTGCCTTTTTCAATCTTAGTCACTGATGTTGCCATGGAAACTCTATTATTAAAAAGAACAATTCCACACTAGCAAAAGGCGTGTTCACCACTAGACCTATCCATGTGCCAAGCTTTGTGAAGGTATATATACGGTTTAACGGTAGTGCTCGTTTCCGGAACACATCTTCATTACCGTTATGAAGATGTGTTCCGGAAACGAGCACTACTTTGTCTGTCACTGAAACCATAGAAACTCGATACATGTATTTTGGCAAATGCAAATTCACCAGACCTATCTGTGTATATTGTCTGTGTATAATACTGATTGATTAGTATTGATTTTTGCTGTTTAATATTTGCTTGCCTTAACGTTTCCTACTTTTAGCGTTAACTATAGTCCCACGTTAACTAGGTAACGTTACATACATACCCAGGGTGAAGTTTTCAGTGTAGATGAAATAGTGTGTCTACTTGTACCCCAAACAACTTCATGATCGTGACCTGCTTATCAAGTGGTGTTGATCTTTATTATTTGTTTGTTTGTTGTTGTTGTTTATTTGGTGTTGCTGTTGTTGTTGCTGTTGTTGTTGGGGATGGGGGGTTCGTTGTTGTTTTTGTTGTTGTTTAACGTCACACACAGCAATATTCCAGCTTTATGGCGGCGGTCTGGAATTAACCGAGAGTCTTGACCAGACAATCCAGTGATCAACATCATGACCATCGATGTACGCAATTTGGATACTATGTCTTGTGTCAACCAAGTCAGTGATCCTGACCACCCGATCCCGTTAGTCGACAAGCATGAGTTGCTGACGACCAATTCTAACAGTATCTTCACGGAAAGCTAGTCCTGTGTGGTGATTTTTATGCTCCGTACAGTAATATTAAGGCTCACTAAATCCGGTGAGCGAATGAGGGGTGTCCCTGCATTGTGACTGCCGTAATGTTGTGGAAGTGCACGAGGCAACGACCTGGATGTGTGAACCATGTTTACCCGCTTGTTCCCCTGGAGGGGTTGAGTCGTGGAAGGCGGTCCCCTGACGTCCCAGCACAATCTGCCTGGGGAAATGTACATGTACATTATGTCGCCATTTCAGATGTCCGACGGTCCGAGAAAACTAAAAAGTTATGAAGCTGGCCCTACGAGAGTGAATGCATGTTTGAATGAATGAATCTTTTAACTGATGTTTTATTTTTAATTTTTTTTATTTATTTATTTTTTTTTTTTTATTTATTTATTTATTTATATTTAACAGTGCACTTAGCAATATTCCAGGTGTAAGAAATCTGTACTCAATGGAGTCAATCCAGTAGTGACTGCCATGTAAATCAGTAAACTTGTTACAGACTTGACACAATTCGACTAAATGGCTCGTTATTTCATTAGAGGAGCTGACACTATTTTCCCGAAACAAATTAGTTTTGATCAAGTCAGAGTTCTTACTTAAATTTCCGAACAAAATTATCTTTTTAGAAAGAAACATTTGAAATCTCAAGAATTGTTGAGTGTGCCAGTCAGGCAACTTAAGTCAGTATTTGAGAATTAAAATGGCAAGACGTAAGAAGAAATACAATTGACAGCTTTAGTAGACCGGGAAAATCTCCTTAAAGGTCACATGCAACGTAAAACACAACTTTGCAGATTCTGATACATTTCGGTATGGATTTACCGAAACAAATCATCAAAAATGCAAATTCAACTTATAAAGTTGAAAAATAACGCGATGAAAAAAAACGCGCGAAATCGGAGTTCAAACGATTCACTAATTTTCCCCCGACTTTCCGGGGGGAAACTGGTTTCAACAGCTGGGCTGCGCTCATAGCACGTGCGCAGTGAAATAGGTTCGCGCAACTTGGAAGCGTGCTGTCCGGTGAATACTCTGTGAAGGCTTTGGTGTGAGCTATTTTTCTACTGTTTTGTTGATATCTCACAGGCGCGAGCTTTTTATATGTTATGACAGTTCATTTGTCTATTTCACCACACGTTCTTCTTACCGAGTCACTTTCTCAGTTCGATACTTAAAAGCAATGTCATTATTTAGCGTTGACAGAATTTCTAACTGTGATATAGATATGTCGTTGTCACAGACAAAACTCAATGTCTTGTTTTATTGACATCTGTGTCTGCCTGCCTGTCTGCTAATGACAATATTCAATACACAACTGCGATCACTGACCACATGCAATTTGAACTTAACACCAATCAGGCTATACACCATAAACAAAACGCATTGATTTATGGCCCGAGTTCGGTGTCTGTCACATTATGTAGTTACACGGACAGGCAGGTGTGATTCTTGAACACATGACATGGTATGATGTCTGTTGATTGCAAAATGTTATACACAAAAAATGAGCATGTATTTACAAAACCCAACATCTCTATATATACACACACAATGATCCGTGAGGGCATCTGCAAATGAACCAGCCGTTACACTTGAGTGCACACCCACCCACTCTGACTGGGTTCGGTATCCCGGCTGCTTCGTTTCTTGGGAAGTAAACCCAAGTACCAAATATTGCACTTTTGATCTGCGATTGTACGCTTATAATTTTGTATATATGTTTTTTCATAACCAGCAATGTATATTATATGTCATGAATAAGTGATAATTGTGTTTCAATTATGTTTGATTTTTTGGTTGTATGTGACCTTTAAATGTCTGTCTCAGAAATCGATTTTCGTCTTGAATCAATTATTCTCTTTAACACTCGTCACTGACAGCATGCAACTAAGAACGGTCCAACTGACCCTGCTGCTTGTTTCACTGTTTGTAGCCGACAGGAGGTGTATATTCGGTAGCTTCTGATGCTTACGACATTTCATCAACTTCAGTTCATCGGTCCATCTGAGATTTATGTGATTCTTAAGCGGCCTTCACACGGCAAACAAAACACATGTTGTCAAACTCGAGTTTGAGAGTGTGAACATTCCAACAACTCGCCAACAACACCAATTTCAGAGTTGTCAAACTGTTGTGGAGATATAGGATCGGTCACTATTCTCACCGCCTTTCCATCAAACCTTTGGTGTTGTCAAACTGGAGTCTGACGTGTGAAGTGTTGTCAAACTCTTGTTGTTCAGAAACAACCAATCGCAGTCAAAGAAATTGTCACGTGATGTGACGTGGCGCTCAAGTGGCACGAAAGTTTGACATCATGTGTTTGACGTGTGAAAACGCGAGTTTGACATCTTATAAAATTTCAACAGCATGTGTTGTCAAACTTTAGTTTGCATTGTGAAGGCCGCTTTACAGACATCTAGCGAAGGCATTTATCAAAATGTCATAAAAATGAAAAGTATGCCTAAAAAGG